AGAAGAAAGTTTATGGTTACACGTTTACGATTGCGATTATTAGATTTTTAATTCGATGCGAGGACTAGAAAGTAAGAACTACTAGTAAAAAAAAAAAAAAAAAAAAAAGAAGGAAAAATAGCATATTAAATTGACGTAATAATTTAGGAAAATAATATAGTTGACAGTTGTAATGAAGTTTTGCGCCTCGAATCCGATTTGTTATCGCATATATTTAGTATCGTTTAATTATCGAGAATGGTTTAACCGATAGATCTGTGGTGTAGAAATGCGTCGTCAAGAGGCAATTTGTTTGATTTTATGATTTTCTGCTATTACATAAGTCTAGTAGTCTTCGTAATCTTTCGTCTTAAAATTTTCATTTTTTTTTTTTTATAGCTCTTCTCTTTTTCAAAATATTATTTTATGATTCAGGTTTTTTTAAAATTTTTCTTTCCGCGTTTTAAATTTTCATCGAATTTTTCTTTAAATTGTTATACTTAGGAATAGCCAAATATTCTTTATTTCATTGTACAATCCAAGTCTCAGGATTCTTTTCCACGTTTTACGTGGATTTCCAAATAATACTTCGTTTCTTTCTATCTCTCTCTTTCTTTCTCCCTCTCGTGTAACAATGCAAATTATTTTTCCTTCTCCTTTCCACTATCTTCAATCTTCTTTCTCTCCTCCTTGTCATTATTCATTACGAAAAAATTCTTTGCCTCTTATCTTATACCACACCATTATATTTATACCATACCACGATCCATTTAAATTCTCCTAAAATACGCGTGTACAAGTTCTTTTTAATTAACGATAAATCGAATTACCAAAATTTGCAAATACGTTGATGAATTGCTTAACAACCGAGTCACGTATTCAATAACACCTTCTCGTTTATGGCACGATCGTCAAACTGGCATTATACCATAAAGATAATTATTATTACCGCATGTCGAACGGGGGATTACACGAATCGACACTCGGGGCTAATTATTCAAGATGCTTTTGCTCAATTGGAAAGATCCGAAAAAGCGGGGGAAAGCGACGGAAAAATTAGACAATCCATTCGCACGAACTTAATTGTGCGTTCGTTAAATTTGATCACGTATCACCTTTCCTCGAATTTAACCGTTCCTTATCCCGATTTCATACACTATCGTTAGATTAAACGATCAATTTTATCCATTTTTTCCTCGCGTATATAATCCGATAATCTGCCATTATTAATTGTCATGCAAATTCGACGTTCGTGATAGATATTTTTATTCATTTATATTTCGTTATTATTTATTCGAAAAAAATATCGTTGGTCTATTTATATAATATCTGACACAATTTTATATTTAACAACAACATTTCATCTTCATTCTTACCCATAATGATACATCGATAGGAGTTAGAACACATGTACGCATCACAAATACAAAGTTAAAAAGTGGAGAAACAAAATATCTAATAATATACTATTTGTACTTCGTCTTATCTCTCTCGCATTTTAAATTGCACGTAATTTTAAACGGTGATCGCGTGAGCAAGATTGGCAGCGAGGGGAAGAGGTGGGGAGGAGGAGGGGTTGGTAGGTTTTTATTATTCCATTGAACCGCGCGAAAGGGACGGAATATCAAAAGGTGCGTGGCCCTTGGTATGAAAGAGCCAGTTCGTAAGTTTACCTACGTGAGCGTACTTTAAAGGCGTACTTACCTCGGTTGTAACGGTATATCGTGCGATGTACAGAACCATGAGCAGGCAGGTAGAGAGAGAGAGAGAGGGGAGGGGGGGGAAGGAAAGAAAGAGAGACGTGGAGAGAGTTCGTGGAGTGTATGCACTACGCCACTCGGCGAACGAGTGGAAGAGTAGATAGGAATAGGAAAACAGAAAATGAGAGAGAAACGATAAGTCCCTTCTTGTGCGTCTTGTTAGTTGATGAATTCTTTCTTTACCTTTCTTCCTTTTTATTTTATTTTCTTATTAATATTATTTCGCGTTATTTCGAAACAAAAAGTTGTTTTATTCAAATTTGATAGGATTCGATTTTAAAAAAAGTGTAATCCCCTATTTTTTAGCTGTAATTTTATTTATGTAAATTGGTTATACAAAATCGCACAATTGTTTTCACAATTCTTAGATTTAATATGAAAACTGTATGGACGAGATGAAAATTAAAATTGTTATTCGTATTGTTTCTTTAAAAAAATTATTTATCCTATTTAATTTTGAAAATACCTACAATTTAAACACGGTATATATATATATATATATATTAAAATTCTATTACTAGAAAATACAACGATATTTAGAATAATAATCCAATTTCATTCGATTTCCCCCCTTTTTTTCTTCTCTCTCTCTCTCTTTGAAAAAATATTATATTAAACAAAAATGATTCACAACGATCGTTTTCAACCGCTTCGAACGATCGACGCCCGATTAAATCAAAAGTAATTCGCAGGGGAATTCAATTATTCCATTCACGTTAACAAGAAACTCCCGTGAAATCGAGCTTCCGAAGGAGATAACCTTCGCATTTCGAGCCGGTGATATATAACTCCCATAACTCGATTCGACTTAATCATATCCACGTTTTCCTTTTACCACGATCATTCAATACGTAATAAAGATACATCAAAGCGTGAGTGAAAATCGTGGAACGAACGCGTGAGAATTATTCCTCGTTCCTTTCCACGTAAATGGATTGCCTCTCTCGTCATTGTTCCTCCCTTGAGATTCGTGTCTCTTGGAACGAGTAATGAGGTTAATTGGGAAACGTAAAAACGAATGAACGGATGAACGAACGGATGAATGGACGAGGCGTTGTGAATGAAAACGAGGCTTCGTGATAATTCGTGCTAGATTAATTAGCATTCGATAATTTTTCTTTTTTTTTTTTTATCCGTTTCAGTTTAATAAATAATTCTTGTTGTTCCTAATTTCGAATATAATTTGCCTCGAATCTCGTTTCTCATACGCGAGCGTCGTGAAAAAGAGTTGAAATAATTCATTTTAGGGAAGGATCAGGGGGAGAGGAAGTTGGGCTTGTTTTTAAAGATGAAAAATATAAGAAATGATTAAAAGATTCGTTACAGCTTATTTTTTTTTTTTTTCGTAAATTTTGAAAATAATTACAGTAACGTGTTTTAGATAAAAGTTTAATTTCTCTGTCAAAGTTTAACTTCTACTAAAGTATTTTACTGCTTCGAAGTTTGGAGGCGAGTAGATTTGGTGAAAAAGTTTAATCTTATCTTTTAATTTTTCATCGAAATTTCGTTGTTATTTATAACAACGTTTTTTTTTTAACATTTTTCAAAGTATTATTACGATTTTTCCACGAGGTTTAAACTTATAATATTACAAAAAGAATTTCCTCACTTTTTTAGTCACATCGTTTTCATCCGACACGCTCGATCATTCGTTAATTACGTAGAAAGATTAAAATGTGATAGTGATTGACATTAATGGCGAGAAGTGAAATAGAAAATAAATGAAATTTTTGCTAAACAAGCATTTTGAATCGAACTTGAGCGATATTTGTTTCCATTTTTTTTTTTTCATTTTTCATTTTTTCTACGCACATATCTGTCATTCTTTTTTTTTCTTTTTTTTCTTCGAAATATATATCCCTCATTTCTTTAATGGGATTTTTTACGATTGTATCCTTGGTCGTTATTTTAATTAACGAAATATCGAGATTCGGTGTAATGAATTTTGAAGGATTTTTATTCCATGTATATTTTATTATTTGAAAAAAAGTGAAAGTTTTCAACATATTGCGCAAAGAGAATATATATTTATGTAATATTAACCTATGATGCAATTTTATTATTGTTCCCGCGTCATTTTTTTGTTTCTTCTTCTTATTTAAATTTTTGTGCCGATAAATTTTATCTTCACTTTCATAACAATCGAATATTTATAGCTTTTACTATTATATTATACTAAAACATTGTTTTGTCTAATTTATATATTTTTTTTTTTTTTACTTCGAGAAATTATTAAATTCAAATTTTAATAATTCATAAAGCGTACCAACCACTTGAATTCACCTTTTTCAATCTCTTCTGAAATAATAAGTTACATATTTGATATTTCAAATAAGCGATCCATCATCCAATTAAACTTTCCAAAAATTTATCGAGAGATGAAAAATTTCCACAAAATCGAGCCCCACGAATTCTCTCGAAATTAATCGGAACAAATAAATCGAGAGCGAGACTCGAACCCGGTTTATACCCATCGCTACTCCCATGGAACGCGCGTGGCCAAAGGCAACTGATTTAGCAACTCCCTCGTTTGGTTTCGCGATAACGCGCGCTAACCGTAAATTAGAGGCTAACCTTCCGAGCTGAAGCTCGTCCGTTCGCCTTTTCTTTCCTCTTCTCTCCCCGCTTTCTCGCGAGGAAAACTCGGCTCGATGCACCGCTCGGCTCTCTTTATTCCATTGCCGCGGATTGAACAGATATGATCGATTGACAAGCTGTCATTTCGCGTAAAAAGGTCTTGGAATACATTATCGACCACTTTTACGTTACGCAAAACGTAAGGTTTCCAACGCTTTTCCAATAAAGTGGAACGTATCTAGAAAATGGTGTTTCTCGTACAATGATTTGACCATATACATTTTATTTTATCCCTTTATTTCTTTCTTTTTTTTTTTTTTAATTATCACACTTTCACAATCTGTTATATGCCTTGTCTTTCGCATCCTATATGAATCATCGTCACGAATATTCTAAAACTCGACCGATTTTTCCACGAAAAATTTAATACCAACCACGGACGTTAAATCACACGATGTGTGCAATTTACCCTAAGAACAGGAAAGCTACCGCGACAACGGGTGGCGATAAATCAGAAGAAACACAAAGTAACCCGAAAGGACGTAAGATGGAAGGAGCGCGCAACGATCCATAGATCATCGCGTCGCGGTGAAGGAAAATGGCGAGGCATAAATCGAACCTTTTATTACGTCCAGGTGTCGAGCTCGAAAAATGGAGGGAGACGGCGCTCCACTCGATGGAATCGCGTGGACGAGATAGGGATCGCGTTTTTCCTATAATCCACGTGAAAGTGTTGGCTCGCGTCGCGTTCGCCTGCTATGGCGAGATTCTCGAAGCGTTGTTGCGTTCGATTGAAATTTTCCAACTTGTGCTCGACGCTTTCCATAAAGGAAAATCGAAAGTTTTCGCGTGTTTTTTGTTTTTTCGCACCTCGACGTGGGAAAGCGAGATCGAGTTTCGTAATAAATGGATTTTTTCGAGAAAGTTGTTTCGAATAAAAGATCGAAGGATTGGCAAAGGAATGGCAAATCTCGAATTGTTATAATCTTAAATCATCCGGATTTCGAAATTGGAGAATTTATTGCAGTTTCTGATCTTCAATCGAAAAATTGTCAAATTTAAACATTCCTAGAATAAAAAGTAAATTGAAAGTTAAAGTCTTTTACTTGTTTCCGATGTCTTCGAGCCAATTTCATTTTGATCCTTCGAATTGCAGCGTCCATTCGAAGAAAGAAAGATCGTTTCTTATCTCGGTCACATTCTGATCCGAAATAATTCAAAATCATCCAAAAATCCATTTGCAGCCTCGAAAACTACGAAATATCAGAAGCTCCTCGTTCTTTGCCATTTAAGAGGGAAACGTCGGTAGAATTTTGTGGCTCGCAAGATTTAAACGAGGCGTGAATCACGCGATCCATGGGGAGACGATGCTTTAAACCCATCTTTTCCCAGTCTTTAATCCAGATTGCCGATAGAAGCGCACGAACCTCGCCTTTATCATCATTCTTTCTCTCTTCTTTCTTTTATCTCGCTGCATCTCTTACCCTTTTATTCGTGGTCGTTTGTCAACACGATCGATAAAGCTTCGAATTCTGTGACTTCGATTCTCTTCGTTTCAATGAATTTTGAATGGAATGTTGATGCTGCGGAGATTAAACGATACGATTAGATTTGACTTGGGATTTTTGGAAATCGTTTTATTGGATTTGTTGGAAGGGTTAGGAATAGTTTATAGGAATAATTTGAGGATGATTGGGAATCGTTCTCGTCGATTTCGAGTTATTGCTTTGGAAATAAAAAAAAGTCGAAATTGTTAAAATTTCATTGTTTACTAATTAGTAATATTAGTGAACGATATTAGTATTTAGAATTGCATTAATTACACAATTGATTCCATTAAGGTAGACTGAATGAAAGTCGTTTACATTGTTTTTGCAATTAGAATAAATATTGCTATAAATATTCGTCGTAATCGTTTCAAAGTATTTTTCAATTTCGAAGATGTATAAAATCAATGATTTTTCTCGAATCGTTGTATCAAGATCAATTTAAAATTCCCGGGTTAAAATATCACACGTATTAAAACTAGATAAACTTTATACGAGTGAAATATAACTCTCGTAAAATTAGACCGTTAAAATGCAAATCTGATGGAATTTATGGATTATCAAAGCTGAGTTATTGAACTATAGAAATAAACTGGAGCTGTACGTGTTAAAACTAAACTTATCATGTACGTAATTAATAGACTGGATTCTAAACTGGCGTGCCAGATCTCTCATTTATAAGAATTGTTGTAACCCATTGAAAATTATATAAAATTATTATCATTGCGAATCAATACGATATCCGTTTCTATTATTAAGATTAAAAATCAATGAGACCAGGATATAAATTACGTGTTTCAGATCGTTTTAAAATACTGTAAGAAACTAGAGCTGTGTTCGATCTGAGGAATAACGCGTCTAACGTATCGACAAAATTGAAACTGGATTGTAAAACCCTATCAAAATTATCAAAACACAAATCCAATAAAATTTTCCTTCCATTTAAATTCATATCGCCTATCGATGACCCTTTTATCAAACAACTTACAACCTTTTACGACACGTTCGAGTTTGCACAAATTTCTCAGTCGAGAAAAACGTTTGTATTCCAAATAAAAAAGAATTAAATAAAAATCACACGAGAAACGAAACGTAATCAAAAATCGATATTTGCAAACATAGTATTATATCAAACCCGTCCATCCAACGTACAAACACCATCGATCAAATACCCATCGAAATTCGAGCCTAGATCTACGGGGGGAAAAAGAAACCGTCCTGTTTCGTTAACGCGTTCGAAAGCAAATATTAGAAATCCCGTATGGGTCCCTCGTAATCGAATCGTAGTCTAAAAAGGGTGGAGAGTTAGAGAGCGTTAGAGAGCGGACTCGATGGAGAGAATCATCGTTTTATGAGAGCGATGGAGATTCACAAGGGTAGCCAGGGGAGCATTGAGCGCGATATGGCACGGGTTCTCGGTTACATTGTGTTTGGTGGGGTGGTTTGACCGGTATCGTCCGTTAAGGGGTAGAACACCGGCGGTATGGACAACGAGGCGCCCATTGTCTTGCAAATCCGAAATTTTATTGCTCCATGTGTCGCTTGCACACCTTTGGAATCGTTCTGGTCTGGGAAAATGATACTTTCGTTTTGGATATAAAATTTGTTGGATTAACGAACGAGATGGATTGTGAGGTGTCTTTGACTTTTCGACAAAATTTGTATGATATATTTAGAATGATTCAATGTTTGCAGTTTTTGAATCATTGGTGTAGAAGAGGCGTATTATTTTCAAAATTGTTCGTGTTTTCAAGTTTACATTCATATTAATTTGCATAAATTGGTTGGATATTCAATCGATCGTTTAAAAATTCTATAATCATTACCTTCTCTTTATATTCCTCTCTCCGCAATAATACTTGAGAAATATCCAATTCTGAGCTGGTATTGTTGTTTGAAATAAGAAAATCGTTATTTCCTTTCGCGTTGCCAAATAGGAGGAGGGAATATTTCGTCGAAACGTTAAATGATTCGTTTAGTCACAGGTTTTTGAGTAAACACTATTAAAAATTAATTCTCTGGACGAGATAAATTATCGTATTACTGGTAACAATAGTATTTGTAACAATAAATTATTCCGGATGTTAATGATCATGGAAAGGGAAAACAAAAATTTTTACAATTTTTCCATTTTACTTCAATACGAGTCGTAAATTGGGTAAAGTTTCCGAAAGGTTAATAAGAAAGGTTAAGAATGGTTAGGTCAATGGTTGGTGGCACTTAGAAAAGCTCGTAAAGCTATTTACCTCGGGTAACTAATACGAAAATCAGATGAAAGGATTTTTACGGTATTTCAGCCAGCGTCGTGCTGATTGGCCGTTTCCGAAAACCAATCGGTTTGCATATTTTTCAAAGGTGTCAGTTTCTCTCGGTCGTTCGAACAAGACGGACCGTTCGAATTATTCGTGGCTCGTTTTTATTTATATCATCCTCGTGGAGCTATGCTCAGGTAATAATTGTTTAAATGATTATAAAATAATTTTATTCTTTTAAAAATTCACATTATTCACAACACGATACTTTGGAAATACAGTTTCGTTCGCGATTGCAAAAGTTGAATCCTTTCGTGTTCGAGATCGATGTACGAGTTTCGTGAGGATTTTCTTTATTTTATGACGGTTGCGTCATTCCCAAGAAAAGTGAAAAAAGATTTTCCACGTATTTCTTTTGTGTACGCGTACGTAGTGCAAGTGTAATCGAAAATCAATATTTGTCACCGTGAATTCCCTTTGATTTTTCCTGCGGTCTCGAATCTATTTTTATTATACATTGTTTTTATTCCTCTGATTTCGATCAAACGAACAAATGAAGTTATAAAAGGACCGATTATTCGACTTGTGTTCGAGCAATTAAGTTATTTAAATATTCAGATTTTTTTTTTAAAACGATAAATAATCCGTGAGAACGATTCAACGCTGGAAAGATCGATAAATAAGATTGATCTTTATACGAAAAATTACCAAATTTATCCGACCAATTTATCGATAAGAGAGAATTATATTTGGTGAAAGAGGAACGGTCAAACTAATTTTTACTTTGCACAGTCGGATATTAAATTCTTAGCGTGTAGTAGGCACATATATGCTAAACCGCAAAATCCGTAACCGTTTGTATTCAATCAGTCACCACGACCCACTCGAATTCATAAACCAATCTATAAATAAAATCGGACTGAATTAAACGTTCGTACTCGATCCATTTCCAGTTTCGATGTAATAAAAATAAGTAGGCACGACGTGCGCGTATTATTTTAAATATTTTATTATTATAACCCCCTTTCACTTAATTAAGTATCTCCACTCTTAACTGAAAATAGATTTTCTCGATATATATCGAAAAGAAAGATTTTAAACGCGAGGAAGGAGAAAGATACGATCGATTCTTCGATATAAAATTAACCTTACGAATATTTAACATCTCGAGTGAGTTTTTTCGCGACACATTTTATGTTATATAAAATACGAATTAAAATACGTAGGTGACTTAGAAGCGATTCAAGATTGTTGAAACGAGATTAAACGCTGTTATTATAAAAATTATTCCATGGAATACGAATCGTAACGGTGAATTTTCTTTCCTTTTTCTTTTTTTATAATAAATAATTCGATATATTTTCCACTCGTCGTAACAATTTACATCGATCGGATAATCATATATCGTCGTACTAATCTAAATATTCGTGTTGCACCACGTCATAAGAGTAACACCTTGCCGCACTAAATGGATACGGTAAATTTGTATTACGTTTGTGTCTATGAAGTAATATCTTTGTTGACGTTAGTATCTAATAATACGTTGGCAAACTTGAAACATAATGTAAGTTTCAAAATCAATTCCTCTCTTTGCATTCTCACGTGTCGCGAAGATATGTGTTCGTAAATAATAAGAAAAATAATAAGAAAACTCGATTTCACATGGAAAGAATCGTTTCCTTTAAATCGTTAAGATTCTTTTTTTTTTAAACGCGTAAACAATTCGTATTTAACACGCAAATGTGCGTTAAAGTAGCGCATAATTTCGTATTTTTAATTTTTTAACGAGTTTTTATTTCAAACCTGATGTTTATCCGTTTCTTCCTTTTTTTTTCTTTTCTTTCAAACACATATAATCGTGCGATCGATCGATGTTTCAGGTATCGAGCAGGCAATATGTCGGTGCTTCTGGAAGCGAGGTCTTACAGGCCTTTCAAGTCCTCGGAGGAGTATCTGATCGCGATGAAAGAGGATCTGGCCGAGTGGTTGAACGCGCTGTATCCGGAGTTGAGAATCAACGTTGACAATTTTATGGACAGGCTGGACACCGGCGTCGCTCTCTGCAAAGTAATAAGTGGCCGTAGAACGATTTATATATTTCTCGGAAGTATAAACTGGCGTTAAGTTAAGCGTCGACGATAGATTTAGATAGAATTTTGGCGAAAATTGAGAATCGTTTCGAACATTCCTGGAATTTTAATGGAAATTATTTTTTCTTTCACGCTGCTTCGAAGCGTATTCCAGCCAGCAGGAATGTTTCGTGGCATATAATTCTTGCAAATCTCCTTCTTCTTTTTCCTATTATAATCTGTCGCGCGTGAAATGGAAGAAAATCGAAAGTAGGTGGTTTTGCGTGGCAAGATAGACAGTTTTGTCTCCGTTTATCGGACGAAAGGGGATCTTCTACTCGTAATTCAATTTTATCGATATTTATTTCCATTAAATTCCGGTTGGCAGAGATTGTTCGAGCTAGGAAGTATAAAAGTAGGGGAGAGTCATTCAAAAAAAAAATTCTCGAAAGAAAAAAGAAAAAAAAGAATCTTCGAACCGATTGAGGAAACTTATTCGTAGAAACTTCTTGAAAATTCCGCGCGTGGAAAGGACGCATGCGACAAATGTAGACAGAGGCTGTACACGTAGAGAAACATGGGGTCGAGGCGTTAAATGGAAACGCATAGGAGTCGTGAAACGGAGGAAGAAGGATGCGTGTGACGTCGACCGGAAGCTGTTGCTTCAACGCCGCTTGAATCACGAATTCAGTGTCGGCGCGTGTGACACGACGAGCGAAAGAAACGACGAGCTTCTTCGTGCCCCTCTTCCCCAACCCGTTACAACGGGAAAATGCAGATGGATTGGAACACATCGTGTCGATTTAACGTAAAACGCGTTCTTTCCCAAATTGTTCCTCTTTCAAATTACAAGATTTCTCTCTCGATCCCTGAAATAAAAGAAAATCGAAAGGATGGAAGGATTGCAACAGCAGACCGGGGGGAGGGTAGCCTTGCAATCGGTATTTTTCCCGGCGAGGCAGTCCGGTTAAACGAATTCCCCTCGCGCGAAATAATCGGGGCCCACTCGTCGTTTCTCTCGAAGAGAGAACAAGTTCTCTCTCGTTGGCTGGCTCGGTTGATAAAGCGCAAGGCGAGCCGAGGGAATGTCGTCGAAGCGGAGGCGATCATTAGTCGGATCGCGAAAACCGAGAAAAATGGCGGCCGTCTGGGACTGGAATGGCGATTATTATTAACCGGCGTCCGCGATGTTATATCGCGTTTTAACTCTCGAATTGCAGGGCAAATGAAAAAAAAGAGAGAAAAGATGGTGGATGGAAACGAAGAAGAAAATTTCGCGGGATGGATTTTACTATCCATCTGGATAAATGAGGGGAATTTGCATTGTGAGAAATATAAGTGGTTGGTCGGGCGTAACTCGGTATGCGGGGAGACTGGTTCCGTCGACTGGACGCGTGTAAACCGTGTCGCCAAAATGTTACCAACGATCGATACGAAGTTGCGTATCTTTCGAACGGATCGTGTCCCCGACTCGTTGCTTCTCCATTACGGGAGCCGTTTGCTACAGGGTGTGTTTAAGATGAATGGATTCGATAGCTTTGAATTATACCGATCGGCTAGCTGGCACGGCTCGCTCAAGGATCAAGGGTGTGGATAGCGAGAATGAAATATTCGGTTTTATATCGATAGTTATCGTGAAACTCGAACGAACCACCTACGATCGTATAATTAAACTTTTTCGATGTTCCAATTCATCGGTTAACAATTTTTCTTATTTATATCTCGATTACAATACGTACATTTGTTCTCTCTTCTTTAGTAGAATTAAAACCGTGTCGTTTCATCTATCGCGAATCGTAATTCTTATTATATATAATTGCAATTAAAAAACGATCGAATCTCTGGAAAGCTCGATAACTTTTCAACTCCTCCTTCCCCCCGAAAATATTCGAATTACCGAGATTCGATCGATGTATTCCTAATCGAGGGGTCGACCTCGATCGATCGATTATCTGTCGATCTCCGTCGAGCTAAATTCCGAAACTGTGGAAAGAGCATTGGCTCGTGTCTCCCTCGCGTGGATCGCGCGTGTTGGACGCAGACAGAGCGTCGAATCGAGCGCAAAACCGCTTCGACTTTCACTGATCTACGAGGAGTGGATCGGGCGGGACTCTCGCAAACTGTCACAGCCGCGCCGCGTAAAATCGACTTTTGGCTCGAGTCGAGTCGGCCTCCATTCATGTCGGGATACGCTTGGAGTCGGTCGCGTGGGCTTTCGATAGAAACCGAAATTTATACGCTGCAACGGTTTGATTTACTTTTCTGCCGAGTTACTTTCCTGCGCTGGGATTGAATAATTCGTTTCCATCGTTTTACGCATCGGGCGCAGATTTTTTGGAGATTCCGTTTGGATTTTCGATTCTTATATTCTTATAAATTGTTTTCTCCTTTATCGAATAACGTTGTATCATTAGAATCTTTTTCTTCTCTAGGTTAGCCATCAGCCTCGAGAGATTAGAATTTTTCCATCGTCCGTTCTACGTGAATTTCTTACATCATCGATCTGTTAAAATCGCGAGCGAAAAATTACGCTGGAACGATCGCTCTCGGATCGATGCAATTTATTTATTTATTTTATTTGATTTTTTAAAAATAAATTCCTAAGCTGTTCAAATATAATCTTATAAAGCTTATAATGGAATAATATACTATCGAATGGTTAGATTAGTCCGAGTTTGACAGTCGTGGCGATACAAAATATTATTTTCAAAATTTCTGAGCTTTGTAAGCATGGAATACTGTAATGAAATTACATTCAAGTGGAGATGAGTTTGATTTCTCGTTGTTAAATAACGAAATTATTTCTATTCGTTAAGAAATTGACAACAGAGAGAAGGAAAATAGTAATGATGTAATAAGAGAAGATGAAAAATAAAAATAATAGACAATAAATGTGAATTATAAGATTCGTAACAATATTTTATCACGAAATTTGCCTTTAAAAACCGAGGATAATTTCTCAGTAATTACTGCTAAAATATCACACAGCATAGATTTTTTTTAATATTCAATAAATTATCCTTCTTTATACATAAAGATAAAATATTAATATAAGTTTTATACGTGAATTTTTGCGTGGAAATCGTCCGAGCGCAAAGAGTTAAACCAAGATCCACAGACCTCCCCTAATTCCCCTAATTACAAACACTCACGGAGGAAAATTCAACACGAGATATACCGAAAGAATCGTTATCGCCCGTATTTCGCCTCCCATATCACGTACCGCGCCCTTCTCTTCCACCCTGTGTCACGGCTCGTAAAGTCGCCGCTCGAAGTCGAAGGTGGCCGCCTCGGGGATTGGAAATTCTAGCGTTGCATCGAACGAGGGGGAAGGAGGAGGGGAGGGGCAAGAGAGGCAGCGTAGTAATCCTTTGCCGGCTCGCAATGGGGGCGCGCAGTCTACGACGACTATGCTTCCCTCTCTGCCCGCTCCTTTATCGCGGCTGCCCACTCCAAATAACTCGCTGGCCACGAATTTACAACGACGACCACCGCTAATAACGAGTCGCGATACCGATATTGCTTGTCCACGCGCGCCACATGTCGTGGGCCAGGGCTGGGTGGAGGAGGTGTTTGTGGGTGTCGCGTGTCTGGGCTGCGGATACGGCGAGGGTTGAGGGTGGAGAAGTGGACTTGCGTGTGGGATTATCGACAGTTTTGGTTGGATTTGTGAAAAAAGGAAGGAAAAACTGGATACGCGGTGAATTTGAAATTTTTAATAATCAGATATTTGATAAATAATATGTATTTTTAGTAGGAACGATGAATTGGAAAACTCGGTTTTATTTATTTGTTTGTGGGATTGTTTGTGGGATCGATTTCGAGTTGTCATTTTGAAAAACTGATTTGGAATGTGATAAATAATATGTATTTTTAACACGAAAGATGAATTGACTAACTCGATTTTATTTCTTTGCATGGAATTCGATTTCGTTTTGAATTGTGACTTTGAAAAGAAGGAAGGAAAAACTGGTGTTTGAAATTTTTCATAATCGGATATTTGGAACGTAGTAAATAATAAATATGTATTTTTAATTCGGTTTTATTTTTTAAATTTGTAAGATCATCGACTTTCAATGCGAATAACTTAAATACAGGGAATGCATTATATCGAGGTCTCTCGTGATAAGAAAAATACACCTCTCGAAAAAAAAAAAAATTGGAAGCTAAAATTCTAGACGAAAAGCTTTGTCCGTCGTTCGATTAATCGACCGTAATTGTGCACATCTGCTTTCCTTGTCCCTTATTTTCGAGGTGAATTAGAATTTACGGCTGTTCCATCGAGGTCTCGACTCGCGTAAACGCGCGTGTCCCCCTTTTTCAACTTCCAAGAATCGCTTTCCTGGACGAAGATGATTTTTTACCAATTAGCAGTGGAAGAAACTCGAACCACCGCCGTAATTGGGATTAAACGATGCTTGTCCTTACTCGATCGAAGCGCGAATCATGCAAATTAATTGTGTCACGTTTAGAGGGGACAGGATAATCGGAGAGGAGGGGATGCTCGATTCTCTCGGTTTTGCTGGACAGATGTCTGACAAATCTCTCCCGATCTTTAATTGGACTGCTTTGTCATTTCGAAAAGATTTGCTTGTTCAGAAACTGAGTTTTTTTTTTCCTCTTTTTTTTTTTTTTTCAACCGGAATCGTAAATTGAAAGAATTTCGATAGAAATTATTTTAGGCAATTCAGATCGAATTATAATTATAAAAACTTTTCGATTGGAATTGTAAATTATTCTAGAAATCTGTAGTTAAGAATTATTTGCGAATTATATTAAGACCTTTCACTCGGGATCGTAAATTATCGCGCAATTAAGAATCGTAAATTAACGTAGGATCTTCCAATTTAGGACGTTGAATTATGAGTATACGTGTTTAAGATATATAAATTATCGTAAAAACCTTGTAATAATTAGACGTTGTTCCAGAATTCTCTACTATCGAGAAGATGATCTCGCAATTTTTAATCATCTTTCCAATTTCCAAAATCTTGAGTT